AGAAGAAACAGGTGGCTTCATTTCTGTTGGAAACAGAGTAAAGCAGCTGCTGCTCGGAATGAGGAAACTCTAACTGTGAACAGCAGCATCAGCCCCATTGAGACCTGCCTTGCTGTGATGTCATGGGAAAGGAAAAATATTTTCTCGAAGATCATTTAAAGTTAATTTGACAACACAAACATGCAGAGATTTTCATTATTGAATGGGCTCATTACAGCAAATGGAGAAGAGAACATTAAACCATTTAGGCACGTAGTACAGGTCTCATTGCTYGGGGTACAGGAGATTGCAATATATGCTATGTCAAATCAGTAGGCAAAGGATGCAAGTGCTGCATGTGGCCTCTGCAGAAGGTATTGATATGATTATGACAACACTGATGTAATTTTTTACAATGGAACATTGCATGTTGTTCATACCCTTCTGTAAAGAATGTGGCAGTAGTTGATGGCCTCAATGAATTAAGATTCACCTTCTGTCGAAGACAGGCAAGTATTTATAGACTAGACTCGGTTCTCTTTGAGACTTGAATAAATTGGGAGGTTTTTTTTTTTTTTTGTTTGGATGGATTTAGTCAAGAAAGTACAGTCCAAGCAGTGTAATGACAATACAGCTTGAAACTTGATAATGCTGCTTGAAATGGTAAACTAATCTCCATGACAGAGTTAGCAAGCTTTTGTTCCATTCCCTTGTAGAGCTCTGCACACTTTGGTCACCTTTCTTAGAATCCATATTTTTGACCAATACTAGGGAAGGGTACTAGATGTGACAGACAAATAGTCTGATATGGTACAGCAAAGGCCACATGCAAACAGTGAGAGAGAAGCTTCCAGTGTCCTGGTTTTAGACACAATACACTTTGGCACAAAAACAATTACCAGAGTCCGATTATGCACAATTTCAGAAATTGGTCCACATCCTATGATAATCCCTGTTTATATTGCAGAGTTATGGAGAGTACCTCCTGTTGCAGAACTCAGTTGTATCTTGGAGTGCCTATAATTTGGAAACATGTTACTTATGTWGCTAGATTTTAAAAACAACAAAAAACGAAGCCACAGCTCCAAGGGTTTAAGTTTGTACTCAGTGAGTTACTGTTGGATGTTTTATTATGAGATAATAATAAAAAAAATTAGGTAACTGGAAAGGAAAGACTAGAGAATGTAAGGCATAGAGTGCCTCGGGGGAAAAATTGGTATGTCATTAGTACTGCACAGTGCTCCGAAAAGATAAAGCCATACATAAAAAAAGATTCAGTTGGGGAGAGGGAAGAAGGATGGATCTTAGAGTTCCAAGAGAGGTAAAAAAAGAATTTCATCATGTGTTCGCACACAATGTTCATTTAGGCATTCAACTAATTTTCTTTTATCTCATAGTATTTTGCAGTACTGACCACTGATCTTAGTGCCAGGATACCGTGTCCATTGGTTGCAACCTTATTCCTCAAAGATTAGTCCCTTCTGCTTAGATATTATTTAAATGATACTTTAGCATGGTTCTTCAATTAGCAAAAAAAATTGAAAAAATTAAGGCTACAGGAAGAAATCAGACTCTTCCAAAACAATTTTGATTTTATTTTTATCTATCTGAAATCCTTCTAGAAACAGTATTTACAGCAACAATGCSTCAAAGATAGCATTCTGGACTAAAGTAAAAAGAAAAGAAAGATGCCCTTCCTCTCCACCAGATTACCCAGATGGGTAAATTCAACATCCCTGAGACAGTAATGARCAAACACCAAAAGGTTTTGAGTACAATATCAGCCCACTAGAATGGCTGTACCATAGGGATTAGTTTGTATCTTGAACCATGAAAACTATAGTACACACATTTGTTAGCCTAGCTGATGTCACTACCAATTCTACTCACGTTTTTGCAAGTCTCTCTCCCTCCCCCCCTTTAGAAAAAGTGCTCATTCGAAATCATATTCAAAATTAAATTATCACTATAAAATGTGGAAACAAGTCATCCTTTTGTAGTGGTGAAAAAAGAAGAGTAGGAATCCATTTTCCAAGTCCAGCTCAGCTAAAGATTTGCTGTGCAGTCCTGGACAAGTCACTTCACCTCTCTGTAATGTAGGACACATTTTAAAAATGCAGTGCAGCCATACATGGAGATATTTCAATGGAATGGGGTGCCAAAATCYATAATATTGCCTTCTCAGGAGGGCAGTTTATTTTTGCAGATTGTCAAGTTAGGCTGGTACAGCTTTAGTGCTTCTGTCATCTCAATGTCATCACATTCATTTACATGGGCCTGATTATATTTATAAAGTGAGAGCATTCACACTCACCTGTCTTAGAGACTGGGCAAAATGCCCATCAATAGGCAAAAATGTGTGTAGACATTAAGATGAAAGGCTTGTACAAGAGAGACAGAATTACTGATGGTAATATACTTCCTTTCCTGCTGGTCAAATATACAAAGAATAGTGGAAAGCTAAGCCAAAAAGACTAAAAAGATTAATTCAAGGGAGCTACAAAATAAAGATTTTTGAAAGATACCAAGGGACTTACGGATAACATTTGCACTGACTAGAATATGGCTGATAATCAGCCCTGAGCTTTCGATCAAGTGTGTTGCAACCATTATATTGAATATACAYGTGGCATTTTGGGACATGGTTTAGCAGTGAACGTGGCAGTGCTGGGTTAATGGACAGACTTGACTTTAGAAGGCTTTTCTGACTTTAATGATTCTATGATTCTATATAGCAATTTGAGGAACTGAAAAAAGACAGAATTGGTACATTCTTCTTAGACCAAAACCAGACTCTGGAGAAGAAAAAAGGTGGACAAAATCAGGGCCTTATAATATTATAAAAATCTAAGAAATCAAAAATGAGCCCCAAAGACACAGGCATATAAACTAACTGTTGGTTAGCAATATTGCCTTACTTATCAAACATATGGCATTTTGTCAGCCACAGTGGGTAGGTTCTTCTAACTAATACCAGAGATTGAACTTGCCAGTGACTGTATTTTATCGTGTGTGTGTATATATATATAAATATATATATATATACATACATATATATATGCACATATATCTTACAGCTCCACTAAGAGAATTTCAAATGAAAACACTGYTTATGGAAGAAACATAGGGAAGAAAATGAAGATAATTTTCATTATGTCAGACCAATCAAAATAAACCAAAAGAGACTGCCTACAGCACTAGTTCCAGATCTGTGACTTAATAGCCACCTCTTGCCTGCCAAACTTTCAGATATTGCTTGTGGCTAAAGAGAGCTGCTGTCAAGCTGCAGGTTGATTGGGAAGGCAAAGTGCAACATTGTGCAGAGGACATTACAACTGCACTGCTGGCCCTTGAATCAGCAAAACGGAGGGCACTGGTGCATGGTGGCAAGAGTAAACGTAATCGTGAGGAAAGAAAAAGAAATTCCACGTGACCAAGCAAAGGAAGACAAAGTTTGAAGAGGAAAGTGATGTCTCTTATTAGAGTAATGGCTATAACTTACAGAAACCAGAGAAGCTTGCCGACCCACTATACCTTATGCAAACTAAAGCAAGAAGGCATAAGAGATAAGGACTAACAGCATAYGTGAGCAGCAGAGCCCAGGTTTTCTGGAAGGTGCCTGTTTTGCTCAGGCAGATCCTTCAGTCTTAACTATTTTAGGAGATGTGTRCAGAAGAGTGTGGTAGAGATGAAAGCAAATCCATAATCCAGACAACAAAACTAAGCTAAATTTAGCTGTGTACATTTCACATTGCATATCCATCCATCTCCAGGTTATTCTCCTTTCTTGATAAAAATGGGAATGACAGTGCTGTTTTGTGTTTAATCTCTTATCTGTGGGATTGTCAAATAAAAATGCAAGAAAGAAAGGAAAATAAATGTAACCAAAAAGGAAAGTAAAGGGAATTGTTTCACTGTGAGAGCAACAGCATTTATTCACTGAGCCGCTGCTAAGGAAACAGGCTTTCTCCCTATCTGTTCCACAACTCGTTTTGCCATCACATCATCACCAGAGGTTTTGTCCTATTTAGAAACCTTGAAGGGGAGGCTAAAGCATGAGCCTTTCTCTTTTCCACATCCAAGTGGATGACTGGCACTGCTGGCTGCATCACCTATGGTCTTCCATGTCAAAACGTAACTGGTAGGCAACTCTTTCTCATCTCAAAACCCAGCTCCTCCTGTCATGCCCATTTACAAAAAGGTCAATCATTATAAAACCTTTCTTCATCAGACAATTATAAATGTGACAAGCTGTGCTGCTGCTGAAGAGAGTTTAGATTATTTCTGTTTCTAAGAAAATTTTGTACAGATAGGATATTACTAAATCATGTTTTAGAGACAGATGTCCTTTTGCTTCKACAAGTATTATGAACTTTATGCACACAAACACACATGAAACACATGCAAGACCTTGCCACACAGCTCTATAGCACTCAAGTCTAAAGATATGTCTCACAACAATATTTCATGTTATACTTACAATGCATCAAAAAGCTTTACAACAACACTAAAAAGCGATTGAGGAAAAATTACACTCATGYCTGACCCCTTGAGAAAGCACCACTTTTCACAGAAGACATCAAAAGAAGGGTCAACGATGCCAGATCTCCAGTTACCAGAAGCATTTTTCTTTCTAGGCATCTTGCCCCTTTTGTTATGACCACAGTGGGTGTCTCAGAGACACAATAGTCTGATCTCTGCCAGAGCAACCTTAAAGTTTCTGGGAAAACTGGATATCTCTTTGCTTTGTGCTCCTGGCTAATGAAAAAAAAAATTTCACCATTCATTATTTTCTTTGCTCTGTTCCAATAAATACACTCCTCCTGAGCACAGCCCTGATCCCCCACTGACAAGGACAAAAACCTGATGCACCTGCGGTGGAAAAGAAAATACACTGAATCTCAAGCCTTACAGTTAAGACATTACTTGTTTAACTCTAGAAAATGTGATTCTAATTTAGCCAGTGCATCTACCCGTAAAACTTYATAGAAAAAGACGCAAGCAGCCAAGTAGATCTGTACCTTTGTGGCAGGTGGTTACACTCTGGTCTTTCAGGATCTGTGATGAGACAAACCAGTGAGAGAAYGGCACAAGTCTCATAACAACCTGTCTTCAGCACAAATGCTTACTTAGCACGGGCCAGAGTCTGCAGAGCCATGCAGGACACACAAGCCTTCAGCCCAGCATCTCAGCCTCTCCCTCATGAAGCGCAGCCAATCAAGCTGGTAGGGTGCAAACCACAAACCACGCGGGAACTCACAGGCACAGCAGCTTATTGAGCCGGGTGTGGGACTCAGCTTAGTGTGGTTTTACTCTCTTACTGCGAGGGAAACTGCTCTAGAGCAGTTTCTCTGAATGCTACAGCTGTGCTGGGGCACCTCATAACTTGCTCAATGCTCTGTTATATAATACAYCCGTCTGGAAAGCACTAGCCTATTTGCATATTAGCAGCAATCCCCAAGGGCRAGCCATCAAAGGTGTCCTAAAATGCACCCTCCTCTCTATCATGGGGTGACAAGCAGTGGCCATAAGCTACCAGCACGTGTCTTTGTGGAGCACCTCTCCTGCCACACATCCCCTGTGACGTGACAGAGTCCATGGGTGTATATGCACAAAGCACCCACACGTGAATATGTGCTTGGATCTCCATAAGCAAATGCAGGCAAAAGCAAGGACTATCTTGTGCCTGTGTAGGCACAGGCCAAGAGGGAGTCGATATGAGAAACCAGGATTTCACCAGATTCCACAGTAAGTGTGAACCAGGGGGCTGTCTTCAGGCTGTGAGAAAAAGAGCTATAAAAATGTGATTCTTACAAGAACACAAAAAGGGCACATTTGCTTATTTAGTTGTTGCATCTGTTTGATTGCTAGCAGGAGTGTATTGCAGAGGCCTGAACAAGAGTGACTATTGCCTGCCCAGAATATTAACGGTTTGTCTGGCCTGTCTTTGCCATCTTTCCGATGGTAAAATACTTATGGCTATAAAATAAAACTTGCTTCTGCTCAGGTGAGAGCAGCTGCATAGACACCACCGGGTTACCGTGCCAAACGCGCCCCTCACAACCCTACCAAGGACGGAAGCAGCCTCACAGCCCTCACAGCTGGGGCTCGACGGCGGGGGGCGGGGCCTAGTGAGTGATTGACAGCCCCTCTGACTGCAGAGACCCTATGGGGGAAGGGAGTGCTGGTTAGCAGCGTTCTGATTGGCCTAGAAGAGAAAGGGGCGGGGTCTGTGCAGGTGATTGGCAGCAGTTTGAATCTCCCGGGGAAAAGGGGCGGGATAAAGCCAGGGTGGTCCTGGTGTTGTGAGTCCGCCGACATCTACCCCGTGGTTAAGTAACGCCGATCATTAATTACACAGGGGCAAGAGTTACCCTTACCCTACACTCATCCTGCTTCTGCTGGGACTTGGCCCCTGAATGGCAGTATCCCTCCCACCTTTTCTTCTTTGCCCTCTCTGCTCCAGTTCTTCTTCCTGAAGGCAGCCTGAGGGCTGCCAGGGGTCAGCAGGACGCCAGAGGGAAAAGGACCATCGGTGGTTGGAAAAATGATTGCAACTGGAGAGCAGAAATACGCCTTAGGAAACGCCAGCCCCTGCCCTGGTCCTGCCTGTTGCAATTCTGCAGTGAAGCATTTCAGAGGAAACAAAAAGGAGTTGACATCAACTGAAATTTCCCTCTTCAGCCACCAGTCTAGGACCTCTCAAAATCGTAGCCTAAAAACATCATCTAAATTCCGCCGGGTAGCTGTAAGCCGTGAAAGGGCCATTTGCTGCAGCTGAATTAGATTCATAAATTACCAAGTTCCTGAGCCAGTGAGATCCACATGCCCTGAGTTCTTGAGGCCGTTTTTCTTTGTACCATTTCCTTTGATATGGCTGAGAGCCTGGCCAAATGGTCTGTGCCTTTTCCAGCCTGTTGCTCAAAAGCAGAACAAAAAAAATTATTTTAACTCCTAATTATTGTTGACTTTGTAGAACAAGCAGCCAGGTTGCTTGAGGTTCCATCTGTGTTCTTCAAAAGAGCACAGGTGTTACAAACAGAAATGGGCAAAATTTTATTGGTAATACTGAACCATCTAGTATTGGAAAATGTATTCTTAATTACATCTTTCGTTCAAAAAGTTAGAGACCAATTAAGGTGTTTTATAATTGCTATTAAATTACTCTTTTGCCATTGTTAATAGTCCAAGTACTTCAAATATGAAATGTTCTGAGTTTTCATCCTAAAACAGCTATCTCACAATTTACTTTGGTTTGAGTGAAAATATAAAAACACATTAAACAATAAAAAATGCTTTTGGGCAAAGCACAACTTTCCATTTGGCTTAAGATAAAAATACTTTTTGCTATTCAGCCAAAAATTTTTTTTGTTTTGCATTAGAAATGTCAATCTTGCCAGCAAACTAAAAGTCAGATATAGGCACCGTTGTAGCATTAGTCAAATGGAGCTGGCTCAAGAACAGAGACACRAAATGCAACATTCAAATGCTGATGTGTTGTCTACTAACATTAAGATCTATACATTGTTCAACCTCATTTATATGGCATGATTTGTCTGACATTAACTGACAAATAAAAGCAAAATTCTAGAAATTAATTCATGGCTATATCCAGGCTTCAGACTCTTATAGTCTTAATGGCTCAATTTGAATTACTTAATTACAATACAGTTACTTAAAAGCAGACATTTACCAATTTTTATATTTCAGGATTTTTTTTTTAAATTTTATTTTCAGAGGAAGATCTTTTAGGCTAATAACTTCTTTTAATTATGATTCAACTATTTTGATATATTGCCACCAAAATACTGATATTATAATGCTATGTGAGTTAGTATGTTGTTTTTACACCTCTGAAATATTCCTGAGATCCTAAAGTGAGGAGGAGGGGTATGCTGGCATTGTTCATGTTGTTCCTTTTGTTTGTGTACAGACCTTCAAGCTGTCACTCTTGAAGTTGTCACCATTTACTAAAAACAAAGAAACAGAAGGAAGTATGGCATACACATCAAAATCCTAGACCTACAAAAATCAAACCATCTGTGGACTGAGCTAAGGAAAACATGGGTACCAAAGTTTTTGTAAAGCAAGACTTGATTGCAGGAGGATTAGCTAATGAACTTGTAAAGCAAAGCATTTCAATCTTTCCTGCCATATAACCAGTATCACAGAGGAACTCTGACAGAGAGAGAGAGAGAAACATACAAAGGGAAAAGAGGAATCTCATGACTGAAGTTTTTTAATAGCTTCATTGAAACACATGATAAAATCAGATTCTCTCAGCAGGAGACAGATAAAAATGGACTCCATTTGAAGTGCAAACAACAAGAAAACACAGGGAGTTGTAAAGTATACAGCACCTTCCTCATAAACATCGTGCTTTCTCTCTGTTCCAAGTGTTTGCAACTGTCTSTCCCTGTGAAATCTTAATTAAACCATATATTTCCCATTTAAGTTACTTGCAAATGTGTGTAGTTTGATAAAAAAGTTAATTAGCTCTACTCTAGAAAACTGAAAAGGTACCATTTTGATCTTTTGCTTGAAATTCATGCCAATCCTTGCATTAGAAATATCACTCAATCTGGACTGTGGTAGGTAGCACACAGGAGAAGCATGTCCATAAGGGGGGCTGTGGGAAGGGGACTCAGATGGAAAACAAAATTTATTATGAGGTTTTTTTACTTTTTGTTTTTACAAATTATATTACAGATTATCTCCCTTATTGATGCTGGGTGTTTGTCAGGGCTTGAAATCAAATTGATACTTGATGGAAATGGACCTTCTCTGGTGACCCAGCAGGGAATTGCACAGAAATCTACTCAGCCTTATGCTAACCAATAAAAGGAAGGGATAGGAACAGGAACATCTCATAAAGCTGTGAAATAACATCATTTAAATCATTTGGAGGCTGAATTCCTTTTTTATGCTACTGCTGCACTGACCAAAATGCACCTCCTATTGAGTATATGAGCTGGGAAAGCTGATGGATCCCAGCTGATTGGTCAAGAAAAACTGGTGTTACCATTTAAGCAGAGCAATTCAATGATAAATAGAAGCTCTTGTTTTAATTCCCTAACCTCTTTGCTTTTTTTTTAGAGCCTTTCAACAATTCTGTAAATAGAAGGGTTGCAATGAACTGACATGAGACATTTCGTCCCATTCTCCCTAGTTGCAGATATTGTTCTTTTGYTGTAATGTAACTTTCACTGACTGACATTTGCATTTGGATCTTGTTAAAGGTGTGWTCAAAATGCTAACTACATTAGCACTCTAAGTCAGTTGAAGCAGTGGTTTAACAGTTGAAGGTGTTAGGCTGCGTTTAAACAAACTGGATAATAAAATTATCCATTTTTTCTTTTACTTGCCAGYGCTCTCTACATGCTTTCAATTGACTTTTCATTGTGAAACACTGGAATGTCGTGTTTTCAACCTGTGTCAAAGCACTTAATTATTGAGTAGAACCAAGCCACTTTCCTTCTAGTTTGGTATCTAACTGTAGTCTTGCCAAAAGGAGAGGCTAGACATATTCTCTCTTTTTTTTCCCCTGGTTGCTGTATTTTTGGTTAAGGACAGTTGAATTSGACCAAAAGGTTATTGCAGAAAGCAATATCCAGTTCTCCTGTTCATTAATTTTGCTACTATGGGATCATGATTTTGGCTTTCTTATGCAGATGAAAAATTGAGGGTGAAATTATTTCTGCCCCTGCTTCTTTCCCATAATTTTAAGTAAATTATATCATTGTGGATATCATGAGCATTTCTGCCAGCTTCTTTACTATCCTTGGGTGGATCCCATCCAGCCCCACAGACTTGAGTGTGTGTCTAARTGATGTAGCAGGTCACTGACCATTTTCCCTTGGGTTATGGGGGCTTCATTCTGCTCTCTGTCCCTTGTCTTCCAGCTCAGGGGTATGAGAACCCCCAGAAAAACTGGTCTTACTATTAAAGATGAGGGCAAGATGGCATCAAGTACCTCAGCTTTTTCCTTATCCTTTGTCACTATGTTTCCCTCTATATCAAATAAAGTATGGAGATTCTCCATGGCCCTCCTTTTGCTGCTGAGCATTTATAAACATCTTTTACTATCTTTTATGGCAGC